TCTCCGAGCTGCGGCTGCCGGCAGATGGAGCCGCCGGGCAGCGGGACCTGGGCGAGGAGAAGCCCGTAGCAACGCCGAGATCCCGCCCGAGCCCACCGAGCGAGAGCTGGGCTGGTACACGAGCATCGGTGAGTGCTCATCCAGGAGAGGAACAGGCTGATTCCATCAGATCCTGGCCGGGAACCGAGGACACAATCGTATTTTAACCCAGCGGATGCAAGAACCATAATTCCTGTTAACCAGTTTCCCATAAAGAACCAGATTCCCTCAAAGAACCAGAATCCCATAAAGAACCAGATTCCAGCAAAGAACCAGATTTCTGCTGACTGCAGCTGAGTCAGTGTTTGCATAAGAGTGTAGTGCGATTGCAACAGCATGTACAGCGTTAAAGATATACACCCTACACTGTTATCTTACATTTTGATCTTAGTAATTTCTATCGCACTAAAAAACAGACCTAGTAAATACCTGTGATGAAGCCCTAATAACCTGTGTGTATTTTTAGCTGGAGTAGTGAAGTAATGATTCCATTTGGCATAGTGATAAAAATTCCCTCCTTGGATGGTTGACAGACTTCATTGCTTTTAATTTTGCCCCTTGGAAAGCTGCATGCAGCTGGAATTTGGGGTGTTACTTTTTAAAACGTTCATGGCATTTAGGCTCTTTGCTCATTTTAGGAATTACATTTGTGTTTTATATCCAAATCATAAAAATCAAGAGCATCAGTAGACCTGTAACATTTTGAGTTGTTACACAGAGAGTTATTTTATGTGATCATATAAAGCATGGGGAGGTTAAGAAGTCCCCAGTGCAGCTGCAGGAAAGGGACAAAAATTGTGAGTTGTATTTTTCCTTCATTTTCTCATCCTGCATTTTCAATTTCTGAACAAGGAACTGATGGGAGGTGCTTTATCTTAAATCAGAAATGAAATCATAATGAAGGCTTAGTTTACAAAGCAAAAAACCTCTGTTATTAAACCATTCTTGAGGAAATGGCAGCATTTTTAACATTTGAGTAACTTTTCCAAGACTGTACTGGTATTAGGAGCCAGTGTGGTATTTCAGAAGCCATATGTGACACAGCTGTTTTAATGCTCATTTTGATTGTTCCTGGTGCTCTATAAGACGCTGCATTTTACTGAGCTGGTGGCTGAAACAAACCTGGATGACAAGCATGCAAAAATATTCTGAGATTAAATTCTCAGAGTAGGGCTAGGCATGTCCTAACACTGTTCTGTGTCAGACTGCCCCTTTCCTCCTCCTTTATCCCAGAGGATGGGACTGGGATGTTTGTTCTACAACCATGTTCCTAAAATCATAGCATCAGAGAATGGTTTGGCTTAGAAGGAGGCCTTGAGGAACATCTTGTTCCAACCCCCTGCCATGGGCAGAAACACCTTCCACAATCCCTGGCTGCTCCAAGCCCCATCCAGCCTGGCCTTGGATAATTCCAGGATGGGGTAACCACAATGCCTGTCCTTCCCTATTCCAGTGCTTCACTGTAATTCAAGAATTCTTCCTAATGAAAGCAATGAGAGGGAGGCGTCTTTACAAACAAACTGTGGGCCTGCTGGTAGATTAAGCCAGATACTGACGGGTGAAAGAAGCAATGAAGGTAAACAGAAATGTGCTAAATTCCTGGACTTACAGAAAAAGAGCAGGATAGTGTATTGGGCGAGTTGGGAAGTCTGTAGCTCTTAAGTACTAGGGAAAGAGAGGGGGAAATGTAACCAGGAAATTAGGAAAAAAAGGACTCTGCATCTTGTAGCAATTTGGGAGACCTCATGGGAAATGCTCCATGGCCTCTCCCTTTATTCAAATAAAGCTACAGAACTTTATTTACTCGTCTCCTTTTTGGACATTAACCATGAATTAATTTCCTAGCACTAATCTCTAATGTAAACCTACAGTGTGAAGCCATTCCCCCTTGTGCTGTCACTACATGCTCTACTGAACTGCCTTGCCGCATCAGCTCCCTCCAGGCACTGAAGGCCGCACTGAGGTCACCGCGAGGCTCCTCTCCTCCAGGCTGAACA